GACATAGAAAGTAAGACTTTCTACGTCGGTTCCCTGACTAACCGACGTAGAAAGTCTTACTTTCTATGACCCCTGTATCTATGTCGTCGCTTTAACCGACGTAGAAAACCCATTTTAACCGACGTAAAAAGCCTTTTGTGCAGTAGTGAGTTATGATGAAATCGATAATACTTGGTTGTATTTGCATGGGTTGTGGTCAGTAATGGTGGAGGTGCGTGTACACGTTTCAAATTGAAAGCCTCTTGGAGAAACGCCTCTCGGTTGGTATTGAGGGGTGTAATGTTTGTATTTACTTATCCTAGATTTTTTGAAGGGTTGAGTCTAGTGTGTCTAAGGACTAATGTGTGTTCTCTTATATATGACATTGTTATTCTCCATACAATGTAATTGGTTGCTCGAATCTGTAGTTCATCAAGGGTCCTCGATGGATAAGCAAAACAACTGTACATCAAACATCTGAGATGTAGGGCAACTAGTATCACGTGTTGGACCACGTTGGGGTGTATATTTGATATTGTGTTTGACATTTGGAAAATTTGATCCATGAAATTACAGAGGAACTCGCCCTCACCCTACTTCACGCTTTCTAAAGCCACCAACGTGACTTCGTGCCTATTACTGATTGCAAATCTAACTCAGAATCATTTTGTTATCATATAATATTAATCAACAGAGTTATAGGGTAAAGAGTTGTACCATCGTAAAGTTGGACCTTTGAACGTGGTGGGGAAGACTCGACAAAGTACGGTTCCACTGTTTGTATATAATTTTACCTGTGCCTTGTATCTAGCCAAATGTTCTTAGGGGTCTGTCGTCCCATCGTACTTCCCTTTGTCTAAAGATTTTCAATTAGGTGGGAGAGGCGTTTGCAAGATTTTTTGGACAAATGGATGATTGTTGTCCTCCTCTTGAATTTTGATTCTTCAAGTTTATGTAGGTTGGGCTCGAGGTGGAGCTTGTATGATAGGTTCTTTCGAAGGCGGGAGCCGATGTGTGACTTCATTAGTGTGTCTATGCCTTCCGTGCTCCTTTGAATGATCCGCCCTCCTAGAGTTTGGAGGTCTACCACTTTGTTTAGGTGGAATGTCTACTCCCTGGGCGGAAGCTTTAAGTTATTCTTGATCTTGAACTTTCAGATCTATTTTGTTAGTTGAGGCTAAGGACTGTCGGTGTGTGGTTAACGTGATGTTGCGGTTCCTTCCTTGTGCATATTCGACCTAGTTGTTTGTGGTAGTTAGAGTAGCATTTTCATTTATTTATGCAGTGTCCAAAATTCGGTCTGGTGTTGTTTCTTGATCAATGGTAGTTCGTCGGCCACCTTTTGTTGAATTGCTTGATGTTGTCTCTGATTCTTCTATTGCCTTCTATTGGATCTGAAGTAGCTTAGCATTGTTCCGCTCTTGCAAAATCTTTATCTCTTCTTGAGTTCTTTGTTGACACTCGTCCATGTGCTTCTTAAGGCTGTCAATAATGGCTGAGGTCCATGTGTTTCTTAAGGCTATTAATGACGGTTGAGGGATCTATGTTGATGGGGTTGGACATCGTTTGGCTAAAGGTTAGAACTATAGGACGAGAGAGATCGTGGGAGACGTTTTACTAGACTCCACGGTGGGCGCTAAATGTTCTTATCGGCCGAGGTCCATGTGCTTCTTAAGGCTGTCAATGACGGCTGAGGAATCCATGTTGCTGGAGTTGGAAACCGTCTAGTTACAGGTTAGAACCATAGGACAAGAAAGATCGTGAGACATGTTTTAGCGGACCCCACGATGGATGTCAAATGTTCTTACCGAGCTAAAGATGATTAACAAGACGTTCGCTACGCTAAAGATGATTGATAAGATAGGAAGATGAAGTCAGTTGACCGATTTGCAAACCAACTTTGAGAACAATATCTAGAAAAACTTAGAGGTACATCTGCAAAAGGCATTTTGATATTCAAATCAGCTTTTAGGCAATAGATTGATGTATATAAGAATGAATTATAATGTGAGATTTATTCTTTCGTTATATCCTTTTCAAAAGATCATAATAAACTAAGAGATAATTAAATGATAATCTATAAAATAATAATTATTAAAAAATTATAACAAAATTAAAATAATTAATAATAAAATAAATAAAAATAGTTTCTTTAATAGATTTGGTAAGGACAAGTGACCCAATGCATTTCAGAATAGAGATGCATGCATAAAAAACAAGAAAGAGAAGGCTGGATGTAGGATTTTTTTTAAATCCAGAGTAGTGCGTTTGACACACTCTGAGAGTGGCGTGGAGCATGGCCAAGAGCTTCGGGGGTGATTCCCTCACGATGAGGGTTTTTTCTTGTTCCTGCGGAGTAGACGACATTGCTTCAGGTGCGAATTCGAGCATCAAGTTCTGGAAGAACAAAATCGCCATTGCTTCGGTATAGAGAAGATTGTAGAAATTAAAAAGGTGAAAACATTTGTTCTAAAAACGCGAAGATATTTCCAAAAGCATATAGTTCTAAAACGCGAAGATTTTTCCGAAAACTATAACTCCATAACGCGAAGAGCCACAAAATTTAAAAATCACCTAAACCCTAACATAGTTAATGACAATTTGACAAATCCAAAATCCTAACTCATTCCTAAATCGTCAACGGTAAAAATCTGAATTATTTCTCTCCTATTCTCATGAACAACAAAAGGATAGATCCCTTCTCAAATATTCTCGTCACCCAAACCTTTTTCGTACAAAATAAAAAAGAAAGATAAAAAAATATGTGCGACGTACGAGAAACGTATCAGAAACGAAAAGATGAAAGATGATGAGAGAGCTCTTGAGATTAAGTGAAAAATGTTGATGAAGGTGGAGAGAAGAAAGCGCGAGAACAAAGATGTGTTAAATTGTTAGAAAAAGCCCAAACAAAGCACATTTCACTAAAACTCTTTTTATTTTAATTTTCTTTTTACTTTTTAAGTTGAGAGGAGGGCACACTTTTCTAACCTGCCTGGTTAATTTTTGTTAAGACAACAGCTACAAAATTGTTGCTTAAATCATCCGCGGTCTATAGTGGTCAATAACTAAAACCCATAAAATTGTTGTTTCTTTTTTAACTTTAGAAGAGACCATATTTTTATTATTTTATCCAACACTTGTCTAACGTGTCTTATTGAGATTTATAGACAATATCTAAAAATAATTCCACGACTTATATTTGTGATCTACGGTGGTTTATAAGTCACACCAGCCCCTAAATCTTTCTTTAATAGTTCATAAGTCACACCTCTTAGACCGTTCTTAAGTTATATATTTTTTTTTGTTTTTTTCATCTCTTTTTCTTTATTGTCGACTTGCCAATTATCTGTGATTAGGCTCTTCTCCTCCTCCAACTATTTTTTTCTTTCTTTTTTGAAACATCTATTCATCTCAAATTCTTTCACCTTGTTTGACATCGTTTCAACGGAAAACAATATAAAAAGTAAGATTCTAAGAAAAATATAATTTAGATTATGTTATGAAATATGTTAAATAAGTTAAAGGTGGAAGTTGAAAATGTATTATATATGAATGTTAAAATCTTCATTGTGGTCATTGTCATGCTTGAAGAGAATAATAAGAAAGCAATAAAATATTCTAGATCTGTTGCGATAGAGAAAAATTTACTACAACCGAATAAGATTTAGGATAAAATAAAATTTACGACGAAAGATATATGAGGATGATTATAAATTAAATTTATAATTTTCATAATTTTGGTAATTTATAATAATTGATCAAAATCGTCGCCAATTTTACAATTTTCATTGATAATTATAATAAAGACATTTGTAAAATTGTTCTTATAAACCTTTTTTTAATTATCGTTAAATCATCCATTTGCAGTCAAGTCAATTATCCATTTATAGTAGGTTCAAGTTGGACCTATAAGATTTATATATATAAATTTGAGAAGAAGTGTTGAAAATTATTTTCCTTTTATTTTCTTTATATAGATATTATAATATTTAGTTAGGATTATTATAATTATAAGATATTTATATTTTAGGTTTCTAGTAACCTAATTAGATATACATATTTGTAAAATTTGTGTTTTATAAATAAGTTATATAATAGAAAAATATATTCAAGTTTATATTTTTTTTAAAATTTAAAATAAATTATATATACAATATTGATGAGTATTATTGTATTTTTTTTAATTAAAGCGAGTGGGAAACTTCATGTGAATGAACAATTTAATAGTGTTATTAACATCTAACATCTAATTGGCATGAAAAAAAACCAATGGAAATGAAATAATTCTTTATTATAAATTATTATTATTATTATTATTATTATTATTATTATTATTATTATTATTATTATTATTATTATTACAACACAATATATAGCTAGTGTTAATGTTATTGCAAAATTGAATTTGGACAATTGGCGGTGAGGGTACTGTGAATACAGCTGTTGTAAAGCCACTTTTGTGGAAGTCAAAATAAGGAAGCTATTTGTGAGCTATTTGTTGGCTATTGAAAGAAAATAGTCACAGTTTTACGATGACATTAAATGTCAGGCAAAAAATAAGAGAAGTCCCTTCTTCTCTATAAATATTGGCTTCCTCCTATGCTTTAAAATACATCCTAGCAAGAATGATTAAATCAGAGAGAATATAAAGTTTCTCCTGTGAGGTTCTTCTAGTAAGTGATTTCTCCTATTTTAAGAAGAGAGAGAGAAATTGTTCTTTCCTTCTAATTTAGAGAGAAGTTGTAATCATTCTTCCACATAGTGAAAATCTTTCTCTGGTCTTGCCCGTAGTTATTTCTTTATCTGTTAAGAGTTTTCCACGTAAAATATTGAGTGTCAATTCCTAATTTTCTCATATATATATTTTAGCTGAAAAATATTATTTCGCTACTCTGAAACCCAACAGTGGTATCAGAGCCACTATGTTGTGATATTATTTCACTGCTATAGTTACTAGAATAGTGTTGGAGAAAATTCTTAATATGCTTTGTGGTTGCAGTTAATCTGATCTTCCACATCAGAAAAGAGTTATTCTTGTTACTAGATATAAAAGTCGTTCCAGTAGGCAATATTATTCATAGTAACAGGTGCATAAGTAAGTTTAAACCATGGCGACAAAATTTGAGATAGAGAAATTCAGTGGGAGTAATTTCTCCCTGTGGAAATTGAAAATAAAGGCATACTTGAGAAAAGAAAATTGCTTAGCAGAAATTGAAGGTAAGCTTGATGGTATTACCGATGAAAAATGGAAGGAGATGGATAACATTGTTGTTGCTAATTTGCACTTGACATTGGCAGATTCTGTCTTGTCTAGTGTTGCAAAAAATCAAACAACAAAGGAGATATGGGATACACTCGTAAAATTATACGAGGTTAAGTCTCTTCACAACAAAATTTTCTTAAAGAGGAGACTCTACACTCTTCGAATGAGTGAATCCACATCAGTCACGGATCATATCAACAATCTCAACACACTATTTGCTCAGCTGACAGCCTCAGATGTCAAAATAACAGAAAGTGAACGTGCGGAACTTCTACTTCAAAGTTTACCAGACTCGTATGATCAAATCATCATAAATATCACAAATAATATGATTTTCGACTATCTAAACTTTGATGATGTTGCCGAAGCCATTCTTGAAGAAGAATCTAGGCGCAAGAATAAGGAAGATAGATTGGAAAATTCCAAGCAAGCAGAGACTTTGACGGTGGTGAGAGGAAGATCAACAGAGCATGGCTCCAGTGGGAGTCAAAATCATGGTAGATTGAAATCTCAAGGAAGGAAGAATTTTAAATGCTACTACTGTGGCATGAGAGGACACTTGAAGAAATATTGTTGGAAGAAGAAAAATGCTGAGAAGTCTCTTGAAGCAACTGCATCTCAAGGATGTGTTGCTAGTACCTCCGATGATGGAGAAATCTTGTATAGCGAAGCAGCGGTTGGCTCCAAAGGTGAAAAACAGCTCACTGATGTTTGGATAATAGATTTGGGAGCAACATGGCAAGTGACTCCACGAAGAGATTGGTTTTGCACCTATAAACCTATCTTAGAGGGATCTGTGTTCATGGGTAATGATCACGCCTTGGAAATTGATGGAATCGGTACTGTCAAATTGAAAATGTACAATGGTACTATTCGTACAATTCAAGGGGTACGATATGTGAAGGGCTTGAAAAAGAATTTATTGTCTATTGGACAATTGGATGACCTCGGTTGCAAGACCCATATTGAAGGTGGGATCTTGAAAGTGGTGAAAGGTGCTCTAGTAGTGATGAAAGCAGAGAAGTTTGCTGCAAACTTATACATGCTTCTGGGAGATACGTTGCAAGAGGCAGATGTATCAGTTGCATCAGCTAGTCAAGAGGAATCAACAACAATGTGGCATCGTAGACTAGGTCATATGTCAGAAAGAGGCTTGAAGGTCCTTGCGGAACGTAAACTCTTACCCGGGCTCACATCGGTAAGCTTACCTTTCTGTGAGCACTGTGTGACAAGCAACACAACATAGATTGAAATTTGAAAAGTCCACTACTAGAAGCAAACACATACTTGACTTGATACATTCTGATGTGTGGGAGTCACCGGAAATGTCCCTAGGAGGAGCTAAATATTTTGTATCATTTATTGATGATTACTCTAGGAGATTGTGGGTGTACCCAATCAAGAAAAAGTCAGATGTGTTTCCAGTTTTCAAGGAATTCAAAGCACAAGTAGAACTTGAAACTGGGAAGAAGATCAAGTGCTTAAGGACAGACAATGGAGGAGAATATACAGATGGTGAGTTTCTGGCATTGTGCAAGCAAGAGGGTATAAGGAGGCAATTTATGGTTGCTCATACACCTCAGCAAAATGGTGTAGCAGAGCAGATGAATAGAACTCTCCTAGAGAGGACTAGAGCTATGTTGCGAACAGCAAGATTAGTCAAGTCTTTTTGGGCAGAAGCAGTGAAGACAGCGTGTTACGTGATAAATCGATCCCCATCAACTGTGATTGGTTTAAAGACACCTATGGAGATCTGGAAAGGAAAGTCAGCAGAGTAATCTTCTCTACATGTGTTTGGATGTCCTGTGTACGTAATGTACAACTCCCAAGAAAGAACAAATTTGGATCCAAAATCTAGAAAATACATATTCTTGGGCTATGCTGACGGAGTTAAGGGGTATCGCCTGTGGGATCCCACTGCCCGCAAGGTTATTATCAGCAGAGATGTAATATTTGCAGAGAATGAACTGCAAAATGAACAGATAAATGATAACACTTCTAAAGATGTTACTACTGTACAAATACACTACAAGAAATTTTGATATTACCGACAGATTTAATAGTCCGTCGCTAAATGTTTGACGAAATTACCGACGGACAGGAATCCGTCGGTAATATTTTTATTATTTATTAAATATTTTACTTATATAGATTA